CTGACCATTTTTGGGCTTCAACTTCCAATTGTGGCCTCTTTTTTCTGTGTCCCCCCCTGGAACATCCTGTCTTTGTCCACCTTGTCTATTCCACACAGTATTTTTTAAAGTCTTATCAGTCTCCCTGCCCTCCCGTCCCCCGTGTCGTCAGGCCCATTTCCCCTTTAAACTTTTTTTTTAGGACATTCCCCTTACTCGGAAAAATAACCTTGTCGCAAACCTTTGTACTTTCTCTAGTTTCTTGACGTGCTTTATCAAGTGCGGGTTCCAAACAGGTGCTGCATACTCCAGTATGGGCCTGACATACACGGTGTACAGTGTCTTGAATGATTCCTTACTAAGGTATCGGAATGCTGTTCTCAGGTTTGCCAGGCGCCCATATGCTGCAGCAGTTATCTGATTGATGTGTGCTTCCGGAGACATGCTCGGTGTTATACTCACCCCAAGATCTTTCTCCTTGAGTGAGGTTTGCAGTCTTTGGCCACCTAGCCTATACTCTGTCTGTGGTCTTCTGTGCCCTTCCCCTATCTTCATGACTTTGCATTTGGCAGGATTAAATTCGAGAAGCCATTTGCTGGACCAGGTGTCCAGTCTGTCCAGGTCTCTTTGAAGTCCTGCCTGGTCCTCATCAGATTTAATTCTCCTCATTAACTTCACATCATCTGCAAACGGGACACTTCTGAGTCTAACCCTTCCGTCATGTCGTTCACATATACCAAAAATAGCACTGGTCTAGGACCGACCCCTGTGGGACCCCGCTCGTCACAGGTGCCCACTGTGATACATCATTACGTACCATGACTCGTTGTTGCCTCCCTGTCAGGTATTCTCTGATCCATTGCAGTGCCCTTCCTGTTATATGCGCCTGATGCTCTAGCTTCTGCACTAATCTCTTGTGAGGAACTGTGTCAAAGGCCTTCTTGCAGTCCAAGAAGATGCAATCAACCCACCCCTCTCTCTCTTGTCTTACTTCTGTTATTTTATCATAAAACTCCAGAAGGTTTGTGACACAGGATTTGCCTTCTCGTGAATCCGTGCTGGTTGGCATTTATACTCCTGTTCCGTTCCAGGTGCTCCACCACTCTCCTCCTGATAATCTTCTCCATAATTTTGCATACTATACACGTCAATGACATAGGTCTATAGTTTAGTGCCTCTTTTCTGTCTCCTTTTTTAAAAATGGGAACTACATTTGCCGTCTTCCATACCTCAGGTAGTTGCCCAGTTTCCAGGGATGTGTTGAAGATTGTGGTAAGTGGCACGCACAACATATCTGCTCCCTCTCTAAGGACCCACGGGGAGATGTCCGGTCCCATTGCCTTTGAGGTATCGATGTCCCTTAGCAGTTTCTTCACCTCCTCCTCATCTGTATGTATGTCGTCCAACACTTGTTGGTGTATTCCTTGCTGGTGTCCCCATCTGGTCTGTTCCCCCAGAGTCCTTCCTGTCTCTACTGTAAATACTTCCTTAAATCTCGTGTTGAGCTCCTCGCATACCTCTTGATCGTTTCTTGTGAGTTCTCCACCTTCTTTCCTCAGCCTTATCACCTGGTCCTTGACTGTTGTCTTCCTCCTAATGTGGCTATACAGCAGTTTCGGGTCAGATTTGACTTTCGATGCTATGTCGTTTTTATACTGTCGCTGGGCCTCCCTCCTTATCTGTGCATACTCGTTTCTGGCTCCTGTGTCTGTGTCTGTGTGTGTGTGTGTGTGTGTGTGTTAGTTACCATTTTGTCCTAGGGACATGTCGATTCGACACTAGGCCTGTTGTATATGAGTGTGTGTGTGTGTGTCTGTGTGTGTGTGTACTCACCTAGTTGAGGTTGCGGGGGTCGAGTCCGAGCTCCTGGCCCCGCCTCTTCACTGATCGCTACTAGGTCACTCTCTCTGAACCGTGAGCTTTATCATACCTCTGCTTAAAGCTATGTATGGATCCTGCCTCCACTACATCACTTCCCAAACTATTCCACTTACTGACTACTCTGGTGGTGTGCCCCACCTCTCCGTCTTTCTGGAGCCCCTTCTGTCTCCTCTGTGAACACTTCTTTGAATCTCCTGTTGAGTTCCTCACATACTTCACGGTCATTTCTTGTTGTCTCTCCTCCTTCCTTCCTTAGCCTGATTACCTGGTTCTTGACGGTTGTTTTTCTCCTGATGTGGCTGTACAACAGTTTCGGGTCAGATTTGGCTTTCGCTGCTATGTCATTTTCATATTGTCTTTGGGCCTCCCTTCTTATCTGTGCATATTCGTTTCTGGCTCTACGACTGCTCTCCTTATTCTCCTGGATCCTTTGCTTCTATATTTCTTCCATTCCCTAGCACCACTTGGTTTTGCCTCCCTGCACCTTTGGGTAAACCATGGGCTCATCCTTGCTTTTTCATTATTCCTGTTACCCTTGGGTACAAACCTCTCCTCAGCCTCCTTGCATTTTGTTGCTACATATTCCATCATCTCATTAACCGGCTTCCCTGCCAGTTCTCTGTCCCACTGAACCCCGTTCAGGAAGTTCCTCATTCCTGTGTAGTCCCCTTTCTTGTATTTTGGCTTCATTCGTCCTGGCCTTCCTGCTTCTCCCTCCGCTTGTAGCTCTACTGTGTATTCGAAGCTTAAAACCACATGGTCACTGGCCCCAAGGGGTCTTTCATATGTGATGTCCTCGATATCTGCACTACTCAAGGTGAATACTAAGTCTAGCCTTGCTGGTTCATCCTCTCCTCTCTCTCTTGTAGTGTCCCTTACGTGTTGTGTGTGTGTGTGTGTGTGTGTGTGTGTGTGTGTGTGTGTGTGTGTGTGTGTGTGTGTGTGTGTGTGTGTGTGTGTGTGTGTGTGTGTGTGTCTGTGTGTGTGGTCTGTGTGTGTGTGTGTGTGTGTGTGTGTGTGTTTTGTGTCTGTATGTGTGTGTGCATGTGTGCATGTGTGCATGTGTGTGCGTGTGTGTGTGTGTACTTCGCCTAAATGTACTCACCTAATTGTGGTTGTCTCTTCACTGGTCGCTACTAGGTCCACTCTGTCCCTGTTCCATGAGATTTGTCGTACCTCTTCTTAAAGGTGTGTATGGATCCTGCCTCCATTACATCACTCTCCAGACTATTCCACTTTCTGACAACTTTATGACTGAAGAAATACTTTCCAGCAGCTCTGTAACTCGTCTGAGTCTTCAACTTCCAATTGTGACCCCTTGTTGCTGTGTCTCTAACATCCTGTCTCTGTCCACCTTGTCAATTCCTCTCATTATTTCATATGTTGTTATGTTGTCCCTCTCTCTCCTGTCTTCCAGTGTCGTCAGGTCGATTTTCCTTAACCTCTCCTCGTAGGACATGTCCCTTAGCTCCGGGACTAGTCGCGTTGCAAGTCTGCATTCTCTGTGTATGTGTGTGCGTGTGTGTGTGTGTGTTGTGGCTCGGTTGGTAGCGTCCTCAATTCACACACTGAGGGACCGGGATTGCTTCTCTGAAGGGATGAATCGTTGGGCATGTTACCTTACACCTGTTACCCTTGTTACCCTTGATTAAAGGACTACGGTGGAAATAAGACAGACAGTCCCCGACGGCTCACTGACTTACTGGGTTATCCTGGGTGAGTAACAACCTCCGGGTTCAAAATTTGAACATTACGCAAGAGGTAAGTTAGCTTGAGCTGTCAAATCAGGTCAGGTTAAGCTAAGTTAGGCTAGGTCAGGTCAGGTTGCTTACCTGTTTATCCTGAGTCGCTTCCAGAGGTCACTGCACCCGGCTTAAAGATAAACAGATGTTAGGTCATGAAAAATACTCAGACGACCCACGGAAATGTTCGACAACGGGAAAGTCAGTTCACCTATCAGTAACAGGTACTTGGGTTCACCTATCAGTATACAGGTACTTGGGTTCACCTAGCAGTATACAGGTACTTAGGTTCACCTACCAGTATACAGGTACTGGGTTCACCTATCAGTATACAGGTACTTGGGTTCACCTATCAGTATACAGGTACTGGGTTCACCTAGCAGCATACATGCACTTGGGTTCACCTAGCAGTATACAGGTACTTGGGTTCACCTAGCAGTATACATGCACTTGGGTTCACCTAGCAGTATACAGGTACCAGGGTGTTAGCCAACTGTTATGGGTTGCCTCCTGATGGATGGTCATGCACCCTAGGTAGCGCAGGAATGCACTGAGGTAGGATAACAGCTCCTAACCTGTAAATACAACGTGACCAAAGTAATGTTCGCATAAAGATAAGCAGATGTCTGTCCAGTTATCACGTACAACTTTCGGTTATATACTTCGGTAGAATTTATGGCCAGAAATTCCCATCTCGCGCTGCTGGGGATCCCAAGATTATTTCCGATCCGCTGGTTTGGTCAGTTTCCTATATTTACACTAATGCATTCACATATCTTCGTGAATATCTGTAGTTTGTTACTCTCAACAAGGCCTAACCGAGTGTAAATAAGTAAGTAAGTAAGTAAATTTATTCAGGTATACACAAATACAGTTACATAGAATTATCATACATAGCAGCATATGTGTAGAGAACCTGGGATAACCCAAAAAAGTCAGACAGAGTGACTTATTTCCATTGGGGTCCTTTTACCTTATTATTATAATATAAAGGTTATAATATTTTCTTATTATTCTACAATGAAGATAACATCTTATTATCATACTAAAAAGACTATCTACTACACGAGGGTCATTAAGACTATCTACAATACGAGGGTCATTACTAGGGATAAGGTAAAATTTACACGTATTTTAGCTAAAAAATAGAAAATCATTCCCCTCCCTTTCTGTAGCTTCATTCATCAGACACTTTTTGGCAGTCTTCTTGATATACGTGTAATGCTCGTACGATTTATTTATACATGTATTAAGTTCATTTATTTGCTGTAAGTGAGTCATTCCGTGTATTAAGAAAAAAGAGAAGGAATGGATGAGAAATAAAAATATAGTGAGAGTGTGCAGCGAGGGTCAGTGGGCGGTGGGTGGGACGTTTACACCATTCAGTCGGCGATCAGACGTCGACAGCGACGGAGGTAGATAGTTACGCTGCGTGTGGCGGCTCACACCCATTGTGACTTGCACCTGAGGCAGTCTGTGAATGTCAGGTGAAACCTGAATGCTCTTCAACCTGATTCTGTAAATTTTTCGAGCAGCGAATCGAACACCTAAAAAAATATGAGTTAGTTACCAGAACTTTTTGAGTGGGGATTATCAAACTGAAAGCGAGTGAAAATCTGAGCGACTTGTTGACACCGATCAGTGAACCAAGTGTATTACTAGTGTATACAAGGGACCTGAACCACCACCTGCTGTTGCAAGTCGCTCGTTCACCTTGTAACTATTTCTTCTTAAACTGTACTTTATATTTTCGTCCAGATCAGAAACTTTTTTTCCTACCCCTTGTGTTGTTTTACTTTCCACGGCTGAAAGTAACATATAATTGTGGGAAGTGTTTGTGGACCCGACATGTGAGGGGCTTAGGCCCCCCCGCAGAGTGTGAGGACCCAAGGGCCCCGCACATAGTGCTGAGGACCCTTCGCCATGGCCCCAGGGGATCCTGCAAGTCCCTGGCTGCTGCTACTGCTGCTGGTGGCAGCAATGACAGCTACTGCTACAGGTAAGACCACCAGGAGTTTATTAGTTGGTTTACGAGCGCTGAGACAGCTCAAGGACTCTGCTGGAGGTGAGACGTTGACTGCTGAGACGTTGACTGCTGAGACGTTGACTCCACAATCTAGACACTGACCATGATTGTGTATATACTCCAAGAGGTGCATATCTTTATATAATCCAAGAGTTATATATCTTTATAAATACTTCAAAGTGTATATCTTTGTATACTCCAAAGGTATATATGTTTATTCTCCAAGAAGTGTGTGTTTTTATACTCTGAAGTGTACTGTATACCTGTGCATATATTTCACGAGCTGTGTGTGTATTCTCTCAGAGGTATATATCATGACTAGGAATATAGTACGAATAGCGAGAATTTAAATCAGTGTCTCAGAAGAAGGGCTGAGTGGCACTAAAAATATTATCCTGACACATTCCATTAAGGAAAGTAAAGTTTTAAAGATAAATACTCCCTCTGAAGGACGCCAAGAGTAACAGATCCTCTCAGAGGTTTAACGCTGGTTAGATAAGCTGAAAATATTTCGGTGACAGAACCCAAGCTGGCCTCTATATGTCAAAATATATAAGTTGAGAAGTGAGCTAAGTCTACTGTCTGGTCTACGGATGCTGTCTTTTCTCCCCCGTCTTATTCCACCTCTAATTACTCTGACATTGATCGGACATTGACTAAAGCAAAATTCAGTCTTCTTGATTGAGATCATTAACATACAGTGATATCTCTTCTTTTAATGCCACCTCAACTCCTGTCATGTGCTTAATATTTCCTGCGACATTTTCCGCTTTATTTCTGAATGTTATATAGTTTTCAGATTACTCTATCAGTGCTGTGTCGAGAGACTTTTTTTTTTTCTTTCCTTCCGGGAAAATGTAGTTCACGCAGCTGTCATTCTTATTTTATCTAAATAACCATCTCAAAGACATTAAAAGATTCGTTAGACAAGAGTTTCCAATCATGAAAAATTTGCAGACTTTAACTAGTAAAATATTTCCCCTGCAAGAACCCCAACAGCCTCATCTATACAATATTGTCCGATATTTTTTGACAATATATATATTAGCAATATCACCCGTGACTCTGTGTTTCCTGTCTGTCCCTCTCCTGTTAAAATATGGGGACAACTTTGATTCTTTAATTATTTTTTTTGTCATTGGAATCGTCTCAAGCGAATTTTTGAAGATCGTTTGTCAGTACGTGTGAAGCTGTGTTGTCAGGTTCCATTACTTTTGTTAGGTCAGCTCTTAAAGGAGCTCTCTCACCGCCTTTAGTGTAGGGATGGTTTCTGATTTCTACTATTATCAGGTTCCCTTGCTATCAGAATCTCGTTCAGGTTCTCGTAGAAGAAGATTGTGCTCGGATTAGCAACTCCAGATGGTCAATGATCCAGGGTAAACACAGGGTGGTGTTTTTCAGGTCATTTCCCAGGGGGGCGACCCACGTGAGTCTACTAACTCCTAGGTATCTATATACTGCTAGGTAACAGAGGTAGCAGGTGTTACGAGACGTCGCGTTCAGCCCAAGATTCAACCAGATTCCTATCAACTGTGAGTGGAACGCACTACCAGTGCACTACCATTACACTACCAGTACACCACCAGTGCACAGCGAGGTATACACATGCCATCCACTGCGTCATGGGGCAGGTGGACGCCAGATGATAGTTACACCCGGAGCACCGCTATAACCATGAAAGTTGAGACTTACTGAACGTTCACACCTTAATGAGTTTTATAATTTGCAACAAATACAGGTGGTTGTGGTTAACCAGACTTTTTGTGAGTGAAGGTTAGCGGAACGATTGTTATTGTTACACCAGTCGACTGTTGCGGATAACAAACAGTTACTCTCACTCCAGTCACCAGAGCAGTTTACCACTGATTGAAAATTTGTTCAAATTTAATTTAAGATCTGTCGTTTTCTTGTGAGATATCACAGCCACAGTACTGTGACTTTTGTTCTCTAATTCCTAACCAAAATTCAAAGAAATAATTCTCCCAATAACATTCGTTTCATCCTCCATATCTTCCAGATTAAATAATGACTTAATGGTGCACAACATGGCAAGAATTTCGAGAGGACAAACAGGTGGGTAATTTACTGGACCCACAACTACCAGTGCTCTTCATGCACAGGAGAGCACAACAACTGCGGCGAAAATGATAGGTTGGATAACGAAAGCTCTCAAAACAAGAGAAGCCAAGCCATTGATGATACTCTTCAGGTCACTCGTGCTCTCTCGGCTAGAATATTGCTGTTACTGCTGTACAGCCTGGTGGTGGTGGCCTGGTGGCTAAAGCTCCCGCTTCACATACGGAGGGCCCGGGTTCGATTCCCGGCGGGTGGAAACATTCCGACACGTTTCCTTACACCTGTTGTCCTGTTCACCTAGCAGCAAATAGGTACCTGGGTGTTAGTCGACTGGTGTGGGTCGCATCCTGGGGGACAAGATTAAGGACCCCAATGGAAATAAGTTAGACAGTCCTCGATGACGCACTGACTTTCTTGGGTTATCCTGGGTGGCTAACCCTCCGGGGTTAAAAATCCGAACCAAATCTTATCTTATCTTATCACTAATGATCCCTTCAAGCCAGGCGAAACTGCAGAACTGGAAACTGCACAGATAACCTTCACAGCTCGTATAGCCTCAGTCAAGCACCAAAATTACTGGAAACGCTTGAAGTTACACGAACTGTATTCCTATAACGTTGCCTAGAAAGATACATCATAATCCACACCTTTAAGATTCTGAAGAGACTGGTCCCAAACCTGCACATAGATATCACTCTTGACAAGAGGCTTGGAAGACGGTACAAATTATATCCAATGAAAAACAAGAACACGATAAGCACACTGAGAGAGAATTCAGTAAGCATGAAGGGACAACGACTCTTCAGCGTCTTCCCACCGTTCATAAGGAGATCTATCAACAAACGCCTGTCTTCACGAGGGAACTGGATAAGTTCCTAACCAACCGAGCTGTGGTGCATATGTCGGACTGCGGGCAGCGTGCACCAACATTCTGATCGATCAGTCCAGCAACCAGGAGGTCTGGTCTGGGACTGGGCCGCGGAGGCGGTGATTCCGGAAGCGACTGAAGGTTACCTACAGGTAACCTCAAAGGAAATTCTTAACATAATTAAAAGATTATTGCAGCAGCACCAGCCTGGGGCAGGTGTGAGAAGGCAGGTGTGGGAAGGCAGGTGTGGGAAGGCAGGTGTGGGAAGGCAGGTGTGGGAAGGCAGGTGTGGGAAGGCAGGTGTGGGAAGGCAGGTGTGGGGAAGGGAGGTGTGGGAAGGCAGGTGGGGGGAAGACAGGTGTTGGGGAAAGGCAGGTGTGGGAAGGCAGGTGTGGGAAGGCAGGTGTGGGAAGACATTTTGAGAACCGGCATTATTGACATTATTATATTCGTACGGAACTGACAAAGAGTGGAGGGGAAACTGTGCTATTTGCAGCGTTGTTTACCATCATGGTAAGTTACTGTGTGTTCTATGCTTATATTCAGCACGAACAACGCTTAATGTTTACACGAGAACTGATTCCCAGTGATCTGGCGTGACACTTCACCAGCATGTATACAACACCAGTAAATCAAATATGTACTACGGATTTAATCAGAAATTATCCACTTTGCTGCCTGGCTAGGTAGGGAACGCGTCTTGCAAAAAGCGTAGCAATATTTCCAGCTGCTGGCGGAACTGGTCAGTAGTTTTGTTGTTAGCTAGTCTTGTTGGTAAAGCCTCGGAGAAACTCAGCATGGATGTCTAAACCGTGATCTTAATAATGAATTATAAAATTGAATACCTTTAAATTTAAATCTTTTCGACAGGGGATCGACTCGTTAATAGTTTCCGGCTCTTATAATGATAAGTGAGCAACTTGTCCCTACTGTTGACCCTTGGCCTTATGAGTAACAGTGTCGGCCCTTGTACTTAAGTGTGAGCAACGTATCTTTAATGCTGACCCACTAACAGTTGACCACTAGCAACCAGATTTGTCGATTCCTAGTCGCTGGGGCCCCATTGTACCCACTAAAATTATGTATGAATTTGCAATCTACCAGTCTCTGCCACTCCCTTTAACATATAGAACACTAAGAAGTACGTGATAATGTGCCTATGGATCATCCACGCCTTTCCAGCAATATATGTCTACCAACTTCTACATGAATTTCGGTCTTCTCTGTACCCATATTTTGTTCTCGCCTGTCTGTTTGCATGTGTCGAGGCGCGGGCTTCGTGCTGGTGCTGCGTATTTTAATATCCGTGTATTATGTATTGTTTAGTGTCTTAATCAATATTTAGTTATGGTTCTTGAAGGCTCTTCTGATAGTTACTAGCCCTGCTTAGCCTGCTGAACTAAAACAGTTAATGTGGTATTATACGGTGATTTGTTTACTCCCAGATCCTTTACCGTCACCGATGCTTGAAATCTCTCTCCTCTTAGTCTGTACTTGGTGTATGTGTTTACATTTCTTTCTATAAACTGCAAAACCTTGTTGCATTTATCCAGACTGTACTTCAGCAGCCAGTTGCATGATCATTTATCCAGATTGAACTTCAGCAGCCAGTTGCATGATCATTTATCCAGATTGAACTTCAGCAGCCAGTTGCATGATCATTTATCCAGATTGAACTTCAGCAGCCAGTTGCATGATCATTTATCCAGATTGAACTTCAGCAGCCAGTTGCATGATCATTTATCCAGATTGAACTTCAGCAGCCAGTTGCATGATCATTTATCCAGACTGAACTTCAGCAGCCAGTTGCATGATCATTTATCCAGACTGAACTTCAGCTGCCAGACTGAGCTTCAGCAGCCAGACTGAACTTCAGCAGCCAGACTGGACTTCAGCAGCCAGGTGCATGATCATTTTTCGCAAGTCAAGTCTCTTTGGATAACGTTCCTGCTATCTTTTATTTTTATTCTCATTAGTTTCACATCTTGTGTAAGAAAGATATAAACATGTATAAGATTCGATTGACTCT